ACAAACTGTTACATGATAGCTTGAGTTGATAAAGCCGAAACCCAGCATATCTACTGGTCAAGGATATAGCCAATAACCAATCTCTATCAAAGCTGCTGAGTGACAAAACGTGCTCTTCAGAAATTTCGCCCACGCCCCATCACCTGTCCTTTCCTCTGTGACAGGTATCTCATGATACGATTGGTCGCAGATAACATATGACCAGCCACTACATTGAACAGTTGAGATACCGAACGTTCTATTCGGGAAATTTGATGACGCCCTATCACGGGACTCTTTGTTTTATGTTTATGCAAGGAATATGTAGTATACATTTTGTATATGTATGTTTGTATGGTCACGTATGTTTTCTGCATTAAATCTGTATGAAATAAAGTGCAATGCTATGAATGTGCTTTGTGCTAGTCACAGACTAGCGTTATAGTACTTTCATTAAAATAATTCGTAAACACTAGAAATGTATCGGCAAAACCGCTATTTTCGTCGAAGATTATAAGGTATGAAAGTAAATTCTTCTTTACAGTATGTCATTGTCATAGATGTTTTGTAAATTTAAACCTCACACAATGATATAAGAGAGAGAATTTGTTAACGTGTGTCTCATCTGTTACATACAAAGAATACACGTGTATGCATATTGTGATAAAATATAAATGTACAAGCCGACAAAAGGTCTACAAGAGAAACTTGCAATAAAATTACATAAAGCTTGCAATACACGACATGTATTCACACCTGATTTCTTTCAACATATATCTTTACGACACAATTAAACAATCAGGACTTGTTTGTACGACTGGACAGTTTCCTGTGATCCCCGAAACCTGCCAGGGAAATCAGGTGTGACTAGCACTAATTAGTCTCGGCACAGAGAGTGGGCAATCAGCAAGGGCTTCCAGGTGTTGAGTAGTGATGGGGCTCTCGGGCTTAATGAGTTAAGAGGCATAAAAACTTGTTAATTAACAAGGTAGTAGGCCTTGTTAATTGGTGACTCTTAACTGCCTTGACTCACTCATCAATCAACAAGGGATTAGGTCCTGGGGGCGTGCAAAGAACAATAATTTACCATCACCCACCAGTTATCTCCCCCCCTTGTGGACATTTCCAAAATTGTAAATGTTTTGAAATCTCATATTTCCAAAATTGGAAATGTCTTGGAAACATCATCTTTCCAAGACATTTCCAAGCTTGTAAATGTGGACTTTTTTTCCAGTGCAGGTACTGTATGTTAAAAGATATGTATGCAACAATAACGATATTAATGAAATACTCATGCAACCACTATGGCTAAATCACTAGTGTAACCAGCCAAGCTTGATCATTCATAACTGGTTTAAATGTGGAGTCGTATATAGTAAAGATATTTGTAACGACCACGATTTTCTAACATTTGCGGAACTTAAAAATTAAGGGTACTGTACTTGATTTTTATCGTGTTCTTCTTAGTACACCCAAACAGTGGAAAGAAGTTATACGAACAAGAAACAATTTTAATATACCGACGTTATGTATGTGTTCTCCTTTGAATGTTTTGATTAAACCTAGTAAAGGCTCAAGGATATTCTATGATAATTTCATATCTGATCATAACATTCCGAATGTGTGTCTCAAATGGAACGGGCAACTTAATGATTTGATAAATTGGAAAACCATATTTTCACAATATAGACAATCCACTAAAGACACGAAACTCAATATAAGTTTTTGCACAGAGCCATTTACACTAAACGAGAACTACTAAAAATAAAATCGATAGATACTGACCTATGTACATTATGTGGTTCAGTAAGTGAGAATATTTGAATGTGTAACCATCAAAATGTTCTGGACAGATTTTAACAATTTTGTAACTCAAGTCCTTGGTAAAACGTATGAAACGTCAAACCATGATATTACTGAACCGCAAAAGAAACGTGAAACGATAGAGGTTTCTTAAACCACACACTTTAATTCGCTCTAATTAACAATCAAAACGGAGGATTGCGTTCAAACTTGACAATTATGGTTAACACATATTCGGGAATCACATTTAAAATCCATACAAACAAATTCACCAAAAATGGTCCCACTAAGATACCTCAAAGTCAGTATCGTGTTGGCTTCCATAGGCATCAATGACGGCGTTGCGTGGTCTGTACATGGAATGAATTAGCCGGTTGTTGAAGGCCATAGGCACTTGGGTCCGTACTCTGTTTAATGCCTGATCGAGTCGAGCCGGAGTTGTCGGCCTTGGTTGAAGGTCATTCAGTCTTCTTTGAATCTCGTCTCAAAGGTGTTCTATTGAACTTTAATCCAGACTGAGTGCAGGCCATTGAAGGGATGGGATGACATGTTGTTTTAGGAAGTCCAGTTGTCTTACAGAGAGATGTGTTTTCAGCTACGTTTAAAACGTGGGTTCTTATGACTTGGTCAGTATAGTGAGCAGCTGTCACACCATTTCTTCGTCCTGGGCCGTGATTCTGGAATACCACGGGGCCACCTCTCTGGTTCAGATCGATTGCACCCCACACCATGATGCTTGGACCACCCCACGAGTCACTTTCAACAATACACGCATTGGCAAACCGTTCTCCGTGCATTCGCCATACTCTCACTCTGCCATCTGTCGAAACACAATATCGGCTTTCATCAGAAAAAACACACAGTTCTCCATTCTCGATAACATCAAATTCGATGCTGAGTTGCCCATTGCAGTCGGTTTTGGCGGTAACGAGCGGTGAGAACAGGACATGGTCTGTGACAGCAGATGTTTCTTTGGTGCAAACGTCAACGCAATGTATCGGCACTCATGGGTCTCTAGTGAGTCCCAGTGGTCTGGCGAGCTGTTTCCGTGGCTCTGGTGAAGCGATCCTGCAGATGGTTGCGCACAATCTGTCGGTCTTGACGTTGTGAGTGAGTGAGTGAGTTAATATTTAACGTCACATCGGCAATATCTCAGCCATATAGTGACGAAAACAATTTATACAATAAAAAGTGAAAATACTTTGAAGATTAAAACCTGTCGACGATGGACAGTAAAAATACTAGAGAATCACAGCTATGAATATAAAACTAGCGAGCAAAGCTAAAACATTCCAATTAAAGAAGACAATACAGTATAAAACACAGGCTATAGATCGCCAACAACTGAAGGTAGGTCACTGTCACATATTGTGTAGTGAGTTATCTCCCCTAGACCAAAAAGCTGAAGCGAGGCTTGCGGCGTGTGTCGCCATTACTGCCTGACAGCAAAAGATGTAGCCAGTGGTGATGTGGTTCTTAAGTAAATAAACCATTCATTCTGAACCCAAGAATCCTGTGACATGGTGTCAGAAGTGGAGCTACACAAGTAAGCATGGCTAAATTCAACCCTCCCGAGAATTTCGTCTTTTCCAAGCCGACAGAATGGCCCGAGTGGCGACAGAGGTTTGCGCGCTTTCACACGTCAACGAAACTGGACAAGGACACAAATTAGGTACAAGTTTCCGGTCTTATATATGCTATCGGGAGGGAAGCAGAAACAATATATTCGTCATTCACTTGGGGTGAAGGTGAAACAGAGGACTATGACACAGTAATTGTCAAGTTCAATGAACATTTCATACCACACAGGAATGTCATTCACGAGCGAGCCAAATTCTATCAAAGGTCACAAAGGTCAGGGGAATCAGTCGAGGCTTTCATCAGACAATTGTATGAAATTGCTGATCATTGTGATTTTGGCAGTAATAAAGAGGAATCAATACGAGATCGAATCGTTATTGGAATTCTGGATAAAGATGCTTCGGAGAAAATGCAGCTTCAATCAACGTTAACCCTGGAAACTGCAAAACAGATGGAAAGGCAGTCAGAATTAGTGAAGTTACAGATCAAGGACCAAGAAACAGGGGTTAATGCAGCAAAGAACGTAGATGCTTTACAGAACAGACAGAGACAGGCCAGACCTAACTTCACCAAATCAGGAAACCATGTTAACAGGCGACCGTTTAGGGGAGTTAATTCATCCCGAAAGTCAGACAGACAGGCTTGTGGTAGGTGTGCACGTTTTGATCAGGGAAGATGTCCAGCTTCAGGAAAGATGTGTAATTCTTGCCACAGAATAGGACATTTCCAAGTAATCTGTAGAGGTAGACAAGTGCATAATGTTGATGCTAGTCCAAGCACACATGATAATCACCATGACAATGATTTCTTCCTGGGATCTGTAGATTGTGATAATAATGACAAGCCATGGTTTACCACTCTCAAGATACAAGACACACCTATTCAACTGAAAATCGATACAGGTGCTGATACCACTGTAATCAATGAAGAAACGTACAACAGTCTTAGAACCAAACCAAAGTTGTCTCCCTCATCTTCTAACCTGAGAATTGTTGACAGCGGAATTACATACCTGGGTGAATTCTTCACTTCAACTAGATACAAAGGTGACTTTTACAAGTTTCGAGTGTCTGTGATCAGGGGTTACAACAACTTGCTAGGCAGGACTGTTTGTAGCAAGATGGGTCTAGTCAAGCACATAGGTGAAATTGACAATGATATGTTTGGTCAGTACGGATTACTTAAGTGTACTCCAGTTGATATCAGGTTGAAAACTGATGCTCAACCATATGCTATCTCTACGGCACGAAGAATACCGTTTCCACTGATTGGAAAGGTCAAGGATGAACTTCAGCGAATGAAAGAAGCTGACATTATTGAAGAAGTCACTGAACCAACAGACTGGTGTGCTCCTATGGTTCCTGTTCTCAAGAAATCTGTTAAGATCAGGATATGTGTTGACCTGAAGAAGTTGAACTCTGCAGTACAAAATGAATGATACATGATTCCGAACCTAGATGACATCGCACCTAAGTTAACAGGTTCCACCATGTTCACGACCCTGGATGCAGCAAGTGGATTCTACCAGATCCCTCTGTCGCCGAACAGTCAGAAGTTAACGACGTTCATGACTCCGCTTTTGCTTCAAGCGAGTACCGTTTGGCATTACATCTGCACCGGAGATATTCCAGCATAAGATGACAGAACTTCTCAATGGACAGGAAGGTGCCGAAGCAATTATGGACGACATCATCGTGCATGGGAAGAATATAAAAGAGCACGACAAGAGACCAGATGATGTATTATCTACACTTAAGAAAGTAGGACTGGTCCTCAACAAGGAGAAATGTCATGTTGCACAGAAAGAAATAGTCTACTTTGGACACAAGATCAACAAGAACGGGATAAGTCCAGACCCAGCAAAAGTTGCTGCAATCTCAAGTCTCAAACCACCAACAGATGTGAAAGACCTTCGCCGTACAGTTGGTATGGTCAGTTATCTAGGCTCGGAGCAGCCTTGTTTCAGATGCATGGAAACGAACTGTAACCAGTTGCATATGCATCACGCACACTCACTCAGACTGAGGTGAAGTATGCTCAGATCGAGAAAGAATGTCTTGCAAGTGTGTGGGCCTGTGAGAAATTTGAGCGATATCTGGTAGGACTCTCAGATTTCAAGATACTGACAGACCATAGACCTCTAGTTCCACTGATGAATACACAGGATCTAGACAGAGTTCCTCTCAGATGTCAACGTCTTCTGATGAGATTTCGACGATACAACGCTGTAGCTGAGTACGTTCCAGGAAAGTGTCTCGTCGTCGCTGATGCTTTATCAAGAAGCCCGATGGATGAATCATCAACACAGAGTCACAGTGAAGAGGTTGTTGAACAGCATGTCAACATGGTGCTTACAAGCAAGCCGATGTCCGATGTTAAGATGGAAGAGCTAAGACAAGCAACTCTGTCTGACAGTGAACTACAGATGGCTATACAGCTCACCAAGTATGGATGGCCTGATTACCTTAGCGACGTGCTGGAACTCGCCACACAGTATTTCAAAGTTCGCACTGACCTGTCAACTGCCAACAATCTGCTTATGTACAGAAATCGCATTGTCATTCCCAGAAGTATGAGAGACTCAGTATTGGAGTCCATTCACATTGGTCACCAAGGGGTTACCAAGTGCATTGAAAGAGCCAGAACTTGTGTGTGGTGGCCAGGTGTGGTAAATGACATTAAGGACAGAATTGCGATGTGTGCATTTTGCATTTGCAACAGGGCGACTCAACAAAGAGAGCCACTCATTACCACTCCATTACCTCAACTGCCATGGATGAAGATTGCTGCTGACCTGTGCTACATAAATGGTCAGAACTTTCTAGTGGTAACAGACTACTTTTCACGCTTCATCGAGATTGCTCACTTGACAAACATATCAAGGCAGCAAGTCATTGTAAAAATGAAAGCCATGTTCGCACGATGGGGAATTCCAGGAGAGGTACTGTCCGATAATGGCACGCAGTTCTCGTCTGAAGAATTCGAGAAGTTTGCCCAACAGTACAACTTTCATCATACAACATCCAGTCCTCACTACCCGCAGGCTAATGGTGCTGCGGAAAGCGCAGTAAAAATTGCTAAGAGACTGTTAATGCAAGACGATCCATATTTTGCACTGTTGTCTTACAGATCAACCCCGATTGAAGCCACAGGTTCCAGCCCTGCAGAGATGATGATGGGTAGAAAACTACGCACTACTTTACCAATCACAAGAGACAATCTAGTTCCCCAGTGGCCAGATTTGGACAGAGTTCAATCCAAAGATGACAAGATGAAGAAACGATATGAGCAGCAGTACAACCGAAGACATTCTACACGACCCTTACCTGGACTCACTCCAGGTACCACGGTTCGTGTGAAGCTAGACAGTGAAAAACAGTGGTCTACACAGGGTGTCATCAAGTCTGGCGACCAGTCTCGCAGAAGTTACGATGTGGAGACACCACAAGGCATCTACCGCCGAAATCGACGCCACATCCAGATCGACAAATCAGGGGCCGATAAACCGGATCCATCAGACGACCCAACTCCCAGTCTTGTGTCGCAGAACTGTGTTCCAGTTGAAAATGACCAGACCATGAGCTCAAATGTGAAGCCAGCTTCACACGATTCAGGCATTAACACTCCGGTGACAACTCGCTCTGGTCGCATAAGTAAGCCTCCTAGGCGATATGATGAAGACTTTTAAATGGTAAAAGTCAGTGTGTTCAAGTTTATCAAGATGATAAATAATGGACTTTGTCATAATGATGACATGAAGTTATTACAGTTGTGCTATTCCAAAGGGGAATTTTCAGTGAGAATTGACTTTTAAAGTTAAATGTTTAAGTTCCATGTTCTTTAAAGTTGAAATAATTCAGTGCTAGAACCCAGTAATATCCTCAACACATCTGTATCCTTTTATTGAAGTGTATAAGATAATTAGTTCATTATCTGTTGAAAAAGGGAGATGTCACATATTGTGTAGTGAGTTATCTCCCCTAGACCAAAAAGCTGAAGCGAGGCTTGCGGCGTGTGTCGCCATTACTGCCTGACAGCAAAAGATGTAGCCAGTGGTGATGTGGTTCTTAAGTAAATAAACCATTCATTCTGAACCCAAGAATCCTGTGACAGTCACCATACTAGGAACCATGGTGACTTACATTACTTTTGCTACCTGCATGGACCCTAGCTGGATTTACACCATCCCTTCAGCCACTGACGATTGTAGGAAAATTTAGCCGGCTGTTAAAAGAACAAAGATACATTTTACTTTGAAAGGTTTGGGACTTACGTACCCTCTCAGGAGGACAATAATTTTACAGTACTTTAACCCCCTTTGAGGGTACAGCCAGTAACAAGTTACTAATCTAAATTACCAATCTTTAAAATATATCTATTTACAAAACCCACTAATCAGAATTTATCAAATAAATCAATGTATTTTAAAAAAACAATAATTAAATGAAAACTAACATTTGTAAAAGGATACTTCATTGTTTTTACATTGAAATATTTATCCCTTATGATGGAGAATTCAACACAGTCAAACAGGACATGCTTGACCGTGGTTCTCTCATCACAAGGGATACAAAACGGAGGATCCTCGCCTTTCGATAGATATACATGAGTGTATCTTGTATGTCCCTTACGACATCGTCGCATGATGACCTCTTCAAATCTGGACTGAAAACCCAAGTAGGTGTAACCAATATAGGGTTCTATTTCATGTAATTTGTTAATACCTACTTGGGTGTCCCACTTCTTCTGCATCAGATCACGGATGTAAGTTCTAATGCTAGCTTTGTAATCAGAGTATGGGTTTAGAAGTGGTGTCACAGGTTTGTTTAGTACTGCCTTTGCAGCAATATCAGCCATTGTGTTCCCAGAAATGCCAACGTGGCTGGGTAACCAACAAAAGACGATGTTGCATTGGCCAGTAGCAAGCTCATTATACAATTCAATAATTTCTAATAAAAGTGGATGTTTACAAGAAAGATTTTTATTAGCCTGAAGACACGAAAGAGAATCGGAAAAGATTATGTATTTTTTATATTTACGGTGTTAATTAATATATTTAAGAGCTGTTAATATGGCGTTAGCTTATGCTGTGAAAATAGAGCTGTTTTTTGGAAGTCGAGAATATATTGTTCTGGATCCAATAACAGTGGCACATGCCACTGCGCCACCATCCTTGGACCCATCTGTAAATAAGGATTTGTGTGTATTATATTTATTTTTTAATTGATTATATTCTTGCTTATATTGTAATTCATTAGTTTCAGATTTCTTAAACTTCGTCAGAGTTGGGTCAACTTGTGGCCTCTGTAATTGCCAAGGAGGAGAAGAAAGAGACGGGAAGGAGATATATTTTCCAGCTCATTGCCGGCAGCAGAAATGAATGGTTTAATTCTTAAACCAAGAGGCGGAACAAGAGAAGGCTTTTGTTCTACAAATATTCCTAAAGAGAAGTAAAGACACAGTTTAATGCAGGGTTAGACTCGTTAGAATAAAGTTTTGTTATATACTGCAAGGCGTTGTGTAAGAGATTGCTCATCAGCCTCGACGTATAGAGGCTGTCACCAGAAGAAGTTCTAAAAGACCCAAGACAAAGTCTTAGGCCCTGGTGGTGAATAGAATCTAATAGTTTTAGGTTGCTGTTGCAGGCTCCACCATATACGATGGAGCCATAATCAAGTTTGGAGCGGACTAGTGATCTATGTAGGTGTAAAAGAGGGTAGCATGATCCCCTCCCCACTTTGAATTAGAAACTACTTTCAATAAATCCAGTGCCTTCAGGCATTTATTTTAAAGGGATTTAATATGCGGCAGAAAAGTTAAAAGGGAGTCGAAAATTAGACCCAAGAACTTGGCCTCTTTGACAAGTTTGATTGGAGTGCCATTTAAATTTAGTTCTGGGTCCTTATGTGGCTTATATTTTCTACAGAAGTGTATACAATTAGTTTCCGAATTAGAAAATTTAAAGCCGTTTTCAAGACGCCATTTATTTATTTTGTTTAAACACAATTGCAGCTGCCGTTCAATACTACGCGTATTATTACCACGACAAGAAACATTAAAATCATCCACAAACAGTGACCCATTGATTGAATCATTTAAAACCTTGGACAAACTAGTTATCTTTATGTTAAAAAGTGTGACAAACAAAATGCTGCCTTGTGGGACACCCTGATCCTGATTGTAATGATCAGACAGGGTAGAACCCACGCGGACTTGAAATTGCCGGTCCGTTAAAAAGTTGGATATGAATTGAGGCAAACGGCCTCGCAATCCAAATTTGTGTAAATCTCTTAAAATGCCATATTTCCGAGTAGCGTCATATTCTTTTTCTCAATCGAAAAAAATCGACATTGCCTGTTGTTTTTAAATAATGGCATTTTTAACAAATGATTCTAAACGCACTAAATGATCGATAGTACTTCTGTTTTTACGGAAACCACATTGAATATCCGTTATAAGGTTATTTGTTTCCAAGTACCAAACAAGTCGATTATATATCATGCGTTCCATGGTCTTGCAAACACAGCTAGTTAGTGAGATCGGTCTATAATTCGAAGGATCAGTATGGTCACGTCCAGGTTTAGGGATGGGAACAACAATAGCATCGCGCCATGAAGAAGGAAAATGTCCAGATGTCCAAATATCATCAAAAATGTTTAAGACGGTCCCTCAACATGATTCCGGTAAGTGCTTCAGAAGCTGATAATGTATATTATCAGCACTTGTAGCAGTATCGTGTGCCTGGTCAAGAGCAGTATGAAGCTCATGAATAGAAAATAGTTCATTGTAATCTTCCCCATTATCTGAATTGAAATTAATAGTTTTCTTTTCCTGTTGTTTTTTATAATTTTTGAATTGTGGTAGATAATTCGAGGAGGAAGAATGTTTGGCCAAAGTTTCTCCAAGTTTGCAATATCAGATTTACAAGTTAATAATTCGTCTCCATCTTTAAGATGCTTAATGCTAGATTGAGCGCCCTTACCTTTTATTTTCTGGATCATATTCCATACCTTTGATATCGGCTTTTGTGAATTTATTTTTGATACATAATTTCGCCAGAATTGACGTTTACTTTGCTTGAAGGTACGCCTTGCCTTAGCATTTTAAATTTTAAACTTATTCAAATTATGGGCCATAGGATGGCGACGGAAATAATTCTCAGCTTTCTTCCGTGCCTTCCTAGCCTGTTTGCACTCATTGTTGAACCATGGTTTTCGTATGTGTGGAATTGCAGAGGATTCGGGGATACACACATCAGCAATGTTAATTAGTTCAGGACTTTCTATAAAAAGTTGAGGTTTAAGTCGCCTACAACACAGAGCTTGATACAAAGGCCAGTTAACCTTTTTAAAGTTCCATTTTGAAGATGGGGTAATGTCAGATGGGTTCACAGGTGTTAGAATTGTAGGAAAATGGTCATTTCCACAGAGGTCATCGTGAACTGACCATTCAAATTCATTCAGTAGATTTGAATCCGTGATTGATAAATCAAGCGCCGAATAACTTCCAGTGCCAGGATGTAAATAGGTGTTGGAACCGTCATTGTATATGCATAAATCATTATCTGAACAGAACTCTTCTAACAGTTTACCTTTAGCATTAGTAGTTGTACCACCCCAGAGTGGGTTGTGGCCATTCACATATCCCATAATAATACAGGGTTTTGGGAGTTGGTCATATAGATTTTGAAATTCAGTCTTCTGAAGAGCTGAAGACGGTGATATATACAAAGAGCATAATGTGAGCGTGACATGTAAAGTAAGTCGTACGGCAACTGCTTGAAGATTAGAAGTAAGTGTAATAGGGCTATGGATAACATTCTGTTTGACTAGGATTGAAGATCCTCCAGTGGCCCTGTCACCCGGAGGTGAGAAATAATAATAAGTATTGAAATGACGTAGGTCAAAAAGATCTGTGTGCTTTAAATAAGTCTCCTACAAACAGAATGCTGACGGCGTACAATCCTGGACTAATAACTGTAACTCATTGTAATTATGCCTTAGTCCTCTGCAATTCCACTGTACGATATTATTGGAATAAACTATCTTTTCAGCGGATTTATTGGGGATCTACCCCGCACTTTTTTGTTGGGCGACAAGCTTTGTGCCCTATATTGGATGTTTTCGGACACGTCCATGTCCTCAAGTGATCCATATTTGTTGTAAAGTTTAATTTTATTTTCAGACCCTTTGAGGCCCTGCCACTTTGTGTTTTTGAATAATCAGGCTTAGGTTTATTCTTGCCTTTAGTAATTTGACAGACATTAGATAGTGGTTGAGACTTTGTGGTTGACTGAGAGGATGCGTCAGGATCAGGAACTTGCTCTGACTTGCCAGAAAGTGGCTCTGCTGTTTGAGTCGATATTGCAGTTGAGAAAATCTGCGGAGAATCGGTTTTCACCCAAGTCAAATTTGTTTGGCAGCTTGAACATGATTTAGGTACTTTAGGAGTTGCCTCAGATGGTGCCTGGTTTTTGAAGCATATGTCTCTTGTTGGTCGCATCTTTGTACAAGTTGTTTCGCTTCGGCAAAACTAATATTTTGAGTAAATTTGATCTTGTTTATTTCCATCTTGTGTCTCCAAATCGGACACTCCTTAGAGAAAGAGGGATGGTCTCCTGAACAATTGGTGCATTTTTTGTAATTACTGTCACAATCTGCTGTTGTGTGTGTTTTCTCACCACAGTGA